CGCTTCTCGACTCTCGAAGGTCCGCGCGGTCTGCAATCGGGCCCGCAACGTGACCCTGGATCGGGCTCTCGCTCGCGCTCTCCTTCCGCGTCCGCCCCAGCTCTCTCGCCAACACGTTTGTCGAGCATTGTCCTGCCACCGCCGCCGCACGCCGAGGCCCCCGCCGAAGAGGGGAGGACGCTTCTGACCGTGGGTTGGCCGAGCCGCTGCGTTCATCAAGGCCTGCGTGTATGGGCCCTGGATTGACACGCTGAGCACACGCTGTACCAACCATTGTGTGTAGAGACCCTTGAGGTACAGGTGGGATGCAAACTCATCCAGCTTCCTGGGGAGATGATAAAGCGGTCCTAGAGACACAGTTTTACTACACGGACCTTGGGAAATGAACGACGCCCAGTTTTAGCATCAGCTGCGCCCAGATGCACGAGGAACGCCAGGAGAAGGCCCAGTAAAGGACCTCGGGAGCATCGAACCCCTTTCGAAGACATGATTTGGCTGTAGGCCACGGGCTGTTCGCTCCCTTGTGGCCAGCGCGACCCTCGGCAACGGCGCAGCGTGGCAGCTCGGCTGGTGCTAAGCTATTCTTGTTTGTGCCTCGGTGCAGCCTCGCCACTTCGCGCTGCATGTGTGGTCTCGACGCCGTGCGGGCTCACGCAGACAGCGGATCTGGATGGGGATCAGAAATTGAGGAGGACCCCGGATGCCCCACGAATCACGCATCGTCCTCCTGCGTCGTTCTTGGAGCTCTACGCCTCGCACCTCCCGGGTGCATCAAGCAACAGCTGCGGCTGCAGTGGAGGGACGTGCAGCCGCCTGAATGAGAATAAGAATAATAATAAGAAGAAGAAGAAGAAACAGAAAACGGCATAAACACCAGCTCTCGACGGTCCGCGCGGACTTCTTGGATCTGCGCTGGACCCCCCTCCCTGACTCGCGGTGCGCGCCAGGGGCGGCGCCGGAGGCGCCGCCAGGGGTGCCCAGCGCGGATCGAAGAAGTCCGCGCGGAGCACCAAACGTTTAAATCTATGTGTATGGTGTTTTTTCTTCTTCGGATGGAGGGAGGTGCAGCCGCCAGAATGAGATCTAATCGGACTGGACTCGACTCTTGCCCTCCAGCTTTGGCGCGAGCGGACCCTCATCCTCATTCGAGGGCGAGGGACGAACGCACACACGCTGGAGGACAGCTCTCTGCGAGGCGCCTTTGACCTCCTGCGTCGTTCGACAAGGAACAACTGCATGAATATACAGCAGGAGCCCGACCACAAGGTACCCCAGCACGTCCACTGATTGTTGGTGTGGGAACGCCGCGCTTTCCATGGCAAAACCATCGAAAGCCAAGAAACGCGGGGCACCCTGGAGGCAAGCAAGCTGTTGGTTGGCATGGGTCTCCACTGTGTAAGCAATCTTTCGGAGGCTTGCGCGTACTCCTGACCACCCCCCATCTCTGGCGCGCAGAGCGCGGCAGGAGCGGCGCCAGAGGCGTCGCCGTCGAAGGGGGAGGGTCAGTGACGACACAAAAACTCCGCGCAGACGTTTGAAAGTTTATGTTTGTGCGGATTGTTCTTACTCGACAGATGGATGTCAGAGTTGGAAGAAGACCCCCAAGGTCACACGGACCACACATCCTTCTATGCCATATGCCCTGATGCTGCCAGCTGCTGGACCGCATGGGGATTCTGGCTGCCAAGTTGTTGTATCGCGTCGCCTCGGGAGCACGAACGAACGAGCTCTTGAACCTTCCCCTTCCACTTCCACAACTCTTCCGCCTGACCGAAGGCCAGTGCAGGATAGGAGCGCGCGCCTAGGGTCACCACGTCGCGCCTCTCGATGGTCTGGCGGTACGCCGCCACCTGCCGAGCACGGGCTGGCTCCATAGGTGGCGTCAGGAGAGCAGCCAAGCTAGGGTCGCAGCAGCATGGAGAACAAGCAGATGAGAGGAAGACAGAGACAGAGCAGAACCCGACTGCCGAGGCACCTTCTCGGTCGCCCCTGCGTTGCGCTGGGAATTGGACCAGCTTGGTGCAAGCCACCGCCCCTCTCACGCACCGGGCTGCTCACCGACCAGATTCGCTTGCCGCAATTTCGCACCATCTGTATCTAAACCCGCAGCCTTCTTGTCGGAGGACAGGAGCTGAAGATTCCAGCGAGGCCAGGGTGGTTGTATCGCTAGGCAGGTGGAGTGCATCGTCCGTGCTCAATGATACGCATCTCCTGCGTAACACAGCCCGCGAGCCGAAATTTCGCGCCGTAGAGGCGAGAGAGGAGAGGATGGGAGG